ACCATTTAGATGCTTGCTCATTTGATGCTCTATACTCTAAACTCACTTCAATCTACTCACGGTCTGCATCTGTGCCACCAAATTTTGAAATTGAGCTGCTTGCTGTAGTCATGCAGGCTTCGTCTCAGGTGCTGGCCAGTGGCAGCGGCTCGTAATTCAAGCTAATGGGTGAGTCCTTCACAGCCGCCACAGTTAGCTTACTTGGTCTGATTTGCTTACATAGCTTGCTTTGGTAGACCTGCGGGGGATTGTGGGACTTTCTGCTGGGCTACGGATTTGCTGCTTCATCGCAAGCCATGATCTGATCTAAGCAGACTCCTGGTCCGGCCCAACCGCCAAACCGACGAGGACGAGGAGGAGAGAAACCTGGAGCTTTTAAATTTTCAAGAATCCTAGGCAGCAGGTCATCGTCTAGAAGGCCCGCGTTTCGCAGGGCGCCTTGATGGGTCCTAACGGGATATGCCGCGAAGCTATGGCAAGCCTTTTCCGGCCACAGGCAGGTACACTTCAGATCTAGCGCATTCTAGAATTCTAGAATCTAGCATCAAAGGCTGTTTATGCCCACATACTGTCTACCGTGATTCATTGCTGTCAGGTGAGGAGCTGTCCTGCTTTCCTGCCAAGGCACCAGGTATCCTGTCAAACCTTCGCAGGGCGAGTTGTGGACTCCCTGGAAGGCAAGAGAAATTGTGGTAGTTTCCCAAAATAGGGGACCCCAATATAGACCCTGATATACTATAGTCCTTATTATGCAAATGGAGCCAAGGATTTCAGGAGGCGAAGCAGTGACCTGGGAAGTGACAGCCTGGTAGCGTTGCGTTTTAAGTTGGCTGTTGCTACAGAGTCTTCCGGCTGCAACGGCTACTGCTACCTGAAAAGCCTGGCCTGCAGACAACGACATTGCCAGATTGGCTTCCTCGTTGGGCACCTGACCCACGCACAGCGACAGGGCACTGGACCGTACCGGGCTCCACTCCTCATCTTCCCTCCGCACGAAGTGGCTTTCAAGACTCAGTCTGATGCTATGGACAAGCGGCGCGTGATGGCGCCAAAGCCTGCAAGCTGCGAATTGCCAAGCATGTCCCGGACTATCCGACCGTGTCAACAATCCACTATTACGGCAGACTTGGGCTGCGACACCCCACAGATGGAATTGGCCACACCTGGCTCACCATCTGCACAACGCAAGCTTGAGGAATGAAACTGTCCACCTTTCAAATAAAAGTGAACATCTTGATTGCCCATGTCTGCTCTTAGGGCGAAATGCTCAAAGCAGTTGAATGCAGAGAATATGCTGCTGATTGTTCTGCAGAGTGAGAATGTTGCAAGAAGCCCACTTTCCGCCAGAGCATGACAAATATCCTGCACCGAGCATCTTTCGGACTGTAACGCATTGTGTGCTCTGAGCAGGCTGAATTTGAGAAGACTGCCCGAAGACCAAACGTAGAACTACATAGGTAACTTCAAGATGGGGCTCCTGCTGGCACCAGGAAGGGCGGAGTCAGCACAACACCATACCTTTGCGCAAAGCTTAGCGCTGGTCAACAAGTTGAAGGCTGTACCACTTTAATCTCCAGAAAGCCATGCGCAACTTGCCCAACATGTCTCCAATCTGCAGTGCAAGCTTGCACGAACTAGCCTGGTCAAAGGTCGCACTTTTTTCTTCCCCTTTGGCAGGAACTGAATCTCGGACACAGAGTACAAGATGGCAGCTGGCGAAAGCGATTGTGACGAAGGAATCTCGAACTTGCTCACACTGCCAGCGACTGATCCGTGTTGAGAAAATAAGAAAATTGACAAGGAAGGTTAGTGCCAAGAGATCATGAGAACTGTCCGCAGTCAAGAGATCCTGGAACTCGCACGCTTGCTCTGCCACCAGTTTGCATGGTGCAAGCCAAGTACACAAGGGCACACGTTTACAAGAGGAGACTGTACGCAGGCCGCCCCTCAAACAGCCAATGAAACTATGTCTGCCACACTCTGCAGCAAAGTTGCGCAGGAGATGACGGATGGGATGCTGAGATGCTGAGATGAACTGTTGCAGGCGTGGCATGTGACACTCTTGCTGACATTTGAATTAGGCCCCTTTAAGGGGCGTGTTCGAACCATGCTGTGATAGCACGGGTATGTGAACTCGCAAAGAAACCCCTATGTCAACTGAGGGGCACACTGTCTAGACACAAACACTGGCCAGGCAGACAAGCCTTTAAACGCGCGCATTTAAGTTTCCAGCGCGCGTGGCCTTGTCTGCAGAAAGCTGCAGGCTGGAAGGCCTTCTCTACAAAAGAACCTTTGCCTTCGTAGTCGTGCGCAAAGCAGGGCAAGGACCGATATTCCCTCTTTTGTCTGCCTTGAACACCATACATCAGAATAGAAGTTTACCTGTTCTGAAACTGAAGGCAAAGCTCTTCAGATCAAAGGATCACGACGACCACCTCATCTGGATAGGAAGGAACACTGGGACAAACCTGTCGGACAACTTTCCTCAACCTAGTGCTCTATGATCCTCTGCTGCTGTGCCATAGCAGTGAACGCAGGAGCCGTCGCAAGGAGGTATATCCACTGCCTCCATTCATGCCACCAAGGAACAGGAACCAGACTTAGCTGAGCATTCCTTTGGCGTCATGAACGTTGTGCCTCAGAAGCTTTGACCAGCGTTGCATCTCATGGGGGGAGGTTGCACAGCTGTTTCCAACAGATCCGGCCTTTATTTATTGTGTCGTTGCGCCGAGGTTGAGGTTGAAATCGTCTGGCGTCATGAAGATCTGCGCCTGCAGTTGTGGCAACGCACGATAATTCCTTCAGAGCACGTAGCACGCAAGAGCATATGGACCTGCCCGCCATCATGTGCTTGTTGCTCAGTGGCGAAAATGCCGGCATAAAAAATCTAAAGCAAGTTTTAACACCTCTGAAAAGGAATCTCTTTTCATCAGTGGCCCCTCTGTGTACACCTGGCTGAGTACAGCTCCTACGGAAAGCCCGCAAGATTCCAAAACCTGCCTCAGCCCTAAGCAAATCCGGCTAGGCAAATGGAGTAATGAGTGTAATGGCCTTGCCCTGGGACAGACTGGCGGTGTCGTTGTTTCGAGCTGTCAAGGTCTGATGGAGCCTGAGCCACAAGGGCTTAGGATGGATCTCTTGTTGGGGAAGTGATGGGAAGTGTACCGGGATTGATGCGTAGGGAACTTCAAGCTTCATTCGCGGACCGCATAGACACCACAAGAGCATGCTGGCTTGCAGACGAACGCTCCAGCTTAATGCACAAACTTGCCGCGCGGCCCTCAGGCGGAGGCGCATGCAGAAAACTGAGTCCCGCACTTGTAGAGCTCAACGCGTTCTGTGACATTCGGTACAGACTCGTTCAATCCCGCAATGAAAGTCAGAGCACTCTGTACCTCAGAAGCTCCCAGCATCTCCCAGCCTTCCCGCCCTCCTAGCTCCTCTCATCGTGAAAAGGTAGCTAGACCCACACACATGCACATCTCATGCATCACTGGCATTCAACTGGTTAAGCAGCTTATATATTCTTTCATGTTGCAACCCTTAACTTCTGCACCAAACATGAATCCACCCCAAGCGTCCCGCCGAGAGGCGCTTGGAAAGTTCGCTTTAGGCTTTAGATTTTGGATCTCGGGAAGGATTTCCTCTAAGCCGATCCATCCTTCTAATTTGATCTTGCAGTGTGTCTTCTGGTAAGCGAAGCAGCCGCCGAAATAATGCAGGGCTCTACGCCTACAACATTGCACACCTGGTACTCGGCGCATCATCTTCCGTGCTATAAGCACGGCAGCTGAGGCGGACACACACGCTGGCTTCTGTAAGTATAGCTGTCACTAGCACTAATTCTCCACACAAGGCAGCAACAGCAAACAAAAAACCGTCACATCCGAGAGCACCTTTTCATATACCTTTGATTTGATGCCGCATCTGAGTCATCAATTGCGACTGCCCTCTATGGGGCCATGAACATTAAACAACCACTGACCCAAACCCCCTCAAAATCCGTGCTTTGAGCAGCCCCAAGCGAACAGAAACCTGAGGTCTGCGCCAGCTTAGCGCCTGAGGACTGTCCCTGAAACTGTCTGGCGAGCTTTGTGTTGTCGGCCTCCATCAACGTTGCAGCAGCATCAAACTTTCTGCGCATTTGTCCCCTACCTCCATGTGCTTGCTTTGCGGTGTTTGTTTCCAATGGCTTTCAGTTGGGGCAACACTTCAAGGTACTTGTTGCTGGTTGTGCCTTTTACAAGACTCGCCGGTGTCTACTGCATGCTCTCTCAGCGGAACTTGTCTGATTTGCCATCGGATATACACTGGAGCGATGTGTCCCCTGACCTTTCCCGGCACCCCCTCTCTATAACATCTCTCCCACCGGCCGCGGATTCTGTCTGTGTGTGAAACTTAGGTCACCAACTGCTTGCCAACTTGCACGGTCACACTTGTCGTAGATCAATACTTGAAATCTGGGCCTGTTCTTAGACCAGCTCCTCGGGAAATGCAATCTTGGCTGTTCGTGACCCCGAGCTTGGTCAGACTTTTCGATCTACTGCCCTCCTGCAGTGAGACCCTGTGCTTGTTCTACATTACGAAGCAGACTTCCTTTTTGATTTGGCAGGATGTTTAGGATAAGTTGCCCAGAACGCTGCAACACCGCCGAACTACCTGCGTCTGAATCAGCGCCGTGCGCTGCTGCTCCAGCTTGATGTCGGCAGCGAGCTTGGCTGCCTCGGAGGCAGAAAGCCATCAAGCACGTGACAAGTTCAGCCATGGAGGGATTATTGATCACATTGCGTGGCGCATTGTCTTCGGGAACTCCCTGTGCAGTGAACTGCTCTCCCCACAACAGCGTAGCTGAATGCTGCATGGTAACAGAGCATGTACCTCTTCATGTTTTCTGAACTTAGCCGGTGAAATACAGGCAGGTTCCAGGTTACAGCAGGAGTAGACTCCACTGCCTCCTTCTTGTCCGAAACATGTCCTACAGATGCACAGCACGAAATCATGATTGAAGGCGTTGCCCTTAGAATGCTGGTGTTGCTGGTTAGGTGGAATGATCCGGCAGCGTTCCTGTATAAACTCTGCCGTGCATGAGTTGCTGCTTGACGCATGGCCCCTGACTGTACTGACCACACAACTCTTACACATCCTGCTGGTCGGATTTTGCCTGTAGCTCTGCCCGAGATTGCTCAGAAATGAAACAAGGGCTGGATTGAACTGGCATGGACTGATCTTGTCCCTGGGGCCAAAACGTTCACTGCATTCTCGCTCTCCTGCTTCTGGAGTTCGTTGATGCCTAGCAGCGCTTGTGATGGTGTGCTGAAATGCGCTGACGGTCTGCAGATCTTGTCGTGTGACTGCATCTTCAGAGGGCCCTCTGAGGCGGGCAAATTTCTGATTAGGCGGGCAATCCATCAACCACCACTTGCTAAGCCGCGTGCGCATGGTAGTTTCCTTAATGATCTCTTGGAGCACAGCAGCCGTTGCCGCGTCCACTGAGTCCTCAAGCAAGGTCACAATACATGTTGTGGCTCGAGCTCAGACGTTTTGGCTTACAGCTTGCACAGCTTGGGGCCCGCAAAGAGACTTGTCATGCTGCATGCTCCATCCGAGCGCTGTTCGGAGGGCCACCGTATATGTCGCTTGTTGTCAGGACAGCCCTTCAGCCTTCTCCATTATGCGGCCGTCCATGTGCCCGACTGCTTGCTGCATGGTCGTGGGTTTGAGGGCGGTGGATTCTGCAGTGTGACGAGGATCGACTATCTACAGTTCAGGTCTTTTGAATTGTGGACTTGAATTGGACTAGCTTGGAAACACACCGAATCTGCTGACCCTTGTTTGAAACCATACTTAGCTGAAAGCGTGTGACGGCAACGTCCTGTGCTCCGCACTAGGAAAACACTGATTCGCCGTGCAAACTCCAGGAAGCCGTAATGACTCCGCGAACCCACGAAGGAGGCACTGCAGAAAAAGACAGCAGAATTCCTAAGTCATACATAGCACTACGGACGTCGCTGATCTGTAGGATGATGGAATCCAGAACAGGCTCAGAGCAAAGCACATTTGATAACCTTTGACCAGCCACCACCACCAAAGCACATTTGACAACCTTTGACCAGCCACCACCACCAAAGCACATTTGATAACCTTTGACCAGCCACCACCACCAAAGCACAGTTGATAACCTTTGCACCACCACCACCACCACCACCACCACCACCACCACCACCACCACCACATCCACATCTGCTGCCCCTGAAAAATGAATTGCCCTGCTGCTTGCTTCTAGTCAGGGCACGAAGCGCGTGATCTCCAGGCTCTGTAGCTGAACTCCACGGTCTGAATAGAACACGTCTGCAACCTCCAGATGCCCCGCTAACAGGATGTTGGGATCGGCACAGCTCCAGTACGCATGGACACCAGATCATGTTATTTTAAGTTCGCAGTTTCTACAGAGTACAGAATGCGCATCCTGCCTGACGGTCATAGGTCGCCTTGGTCAAGTTGTTGAACTCGTTCATAAATTGGGCCAATGTGAGCCTTAGCAACGGCCAGTTGTATCAAAAGTCAATGAGCTGCTCCCATGGGCCCAGCCTGCCGACTTCCTGGATCATCCCGCTGCGTGCCTGAGTCTCTCATCCAAGCTCCACTCTACAAAGCCAAAGCAAATTTGATGAGGTCGTGCACCAGGTTGTAGTCCATACTTCCCCCAACTCCAGGCCCCTGTGGATTGGACCGTGGAGCACCACTTTCTACTGACGAAGCTCAAGGCCTCTCACAAGATCAGCACTAGGATGCTGTCACTGACTTGCTCCGCCAGCACGATCAGCTACAACAAAGTTGTGCCAGAATGTTTCTTTCTTGGGAGCCGACCAAGAATATGCATGTATAGACATATATATATATACACATACATATATATATATATATCTGTATATACACCGTCTCCCGCAGCACGTAGCTCCAGCGGAGGTGCGCGCTGGGAAATGTCTCCAGGAGCATCAGAGGTCATGGAGACCATCCTCATCACGTCGGTCACCTGCCACTGACCAAAGCTGGGCTGAAGAAAGGTGTATAATATGGGGATAATGGAAAAGAAAATGGAAATCACTATAGTATATTGGGTATTATAATATAGGGATAATGGAAAAGAACATGGAAATTACTATGGTATATTCATGTTGTGCAAATGGCCTGCCAGAACACGGTGCCCTCCAGCTTCAACTTCACGTTGTCACTTGTTCGCACCTGCAGCAGCCAGACCGTCACTAGAAGACGCGGAGGCATCCATTGCCACTAGAACTCTCCTCCAGCACTCACACCATCTTGAGACTTTCCAAGCGGTACAGTTCAAGGAAAGTCAGTAGATTCAGTAGATCGCCTCATTCTTGAAGAACATCTTCTGGGCGCGCAGATCGATCATGGTGAGATTGATTTTAGGGACTGGATCCTCCAACACCTCAGCATTTGCGATGACGATTCGCATGCCCTGACTGAATTGCAACAACTAAAAAAGGGCATACCAAGGAATAAGGAAGACGTTTGGCCAATTACTCAAGATGCCGGAGAAGTGTAGGCAGACCAGCTGAACTGCATCAGCTCAGTGTACGGAGGTAAGAAAAAAGCAGTTGCGCCGCCCGCACCACTCTTCAACGTGACCGCGCCATAGATGTCACGAGTCACGCAGGCCTACCATCAAAAGCAGCACGTGGTGCCGGCTGATGCTGCAACTGAACTCTGTCACAGTACCCGCGCTTGCAGCGTCATCCGTGTGCGGTTAGCCAGGACTCTACAAACTGTTTTTGACTGAATCCCTGTCCTGGTGGGGCAAGACCAAGATCTTTCGCTGAATTTGTAGGATGCGCTCGTACGGAAGAGGGATGAAAACCCCCTGCGTTTCGTCGAGGCGTTGCTGGCCAGTCTGCCTGTGGGACAGGCCTACAGCGACTAGAGCGACAAGGAACACCAGCATCATTGGCTTGACCGTCAACTTCCAGAGGCCCAAGACATCTGAGTCAATGCCTGATATAATTGCACAAGGAGCCGTTTCATGCATAGACATCCTTTTCTGGTCAAAGCTGGGCAAGTTACCTAAAAGCATGCATGCCAGTTTGTCTTGGCCTCCCGCCCCACTAGTATGCTAGAATACAGAACCCCACGGAACGGGACCATTCGCCTGTTGAGTACTTTCACGGCTGTCTGGCTGTCAACGTACACAGCCTTCTGCTTACCCTCTGGGGCAGTCTCAACCGGCTCTGGAACCACAACCTCAGTTACCAAAGCAATTCTTCGCGCTGCTGAGCCTGTCTCTTTCTCATCTCCCTCCATCCTCTTCCCTCTGATGCTCCTGCCTCTACGTGCGGAAACGTGCTGAAGGACCTCTTTCCCTTCAAGGAGTTTGACTGAAAGCAATGCGCTCTGCCACTCCGGCTGCCAAACAAAGCGACCGCCGGGCCCCGCTCGACACGCTCTTGGCCGGACTGGCCGTTCACCAGGACCAGATAAGAGTCCTAAAATGTTCTGGTATGTTCTGGTAGCAGAGTCAGATGCCAAACAAGCCAAACAAAGAACATCCAAGGAAATTGCAACTACAGCTGATGGCCTTCTCCAAGACCCACTTCTCGGCAACCCGCAGCAGCTCTTCGTAAGGACCGACTTGCAACAGCTGTGGGCCGAGCACGTTGCGGGTTTGACCTCCAAAAGATTGTCGCACCACTGGGGATTGCTAAGCTCCAGTCCTTCTGCCGATCAATTACAGTACGCCTGTCAAGTGATCCTTGACCACGGCATACATGAGGGGCTCCAGCAACGTGGCCGTCTTTTCCTCCATGATGCGGTCCTGGAATAGATTGCAGAGAGGGACATGGGCCAGCACAAGTTGCGTGCTAAATCACAGAGCATGAGATCTTGGTTGCCTAGTTGATTCTGTTGGTTCCTTTAGCCAGGATGTGCCGGATGTTGGAATGTCTGCCAAGGAGCGTAAGGCTGCGGGACGAACATGCCCTTCTCCGTCACCAGCCTCTTGAAGCCCGAGGTCTTGTTCCTCATCAAATTTCACAGACAAGTCGCGATGGGCTTAAAAGTTCCGTTGAGCTGCGCAAGGGCCGTTCGGCACAGTGCTCGCAGTGTCATAGTGTTGGGCGACAAGGCATTAAGTGATATAACCTTGCGGAATGCACAAAACATGCAAAGTGCATGGAAGGGTTCTCCACAAGCACGGCATTGGTGTGGCCGATGACTATGCTCGTCTCCACACCCGAAGGCCACTCCTGCCAAGCGAGGCTTGCCCTCCGTGGCGACTGCACACGCCATCAGACACCCACAGTACTGAACACAGAAAGCTTCGACAAATCCACACAAAGACTGGCAGTTGCTCCCCCCAGCCATGGCCTCCCTCGGCCTCGGCACCAAGATTTGCGGACCACCCTCCTGGAAGCAAAGCTGAAGCTCATTCAGAAAGACAAGCGCTTGCGCAAACAGAGACCCTGCTATGCAGTGTAAATTAGGTCGAGTTGCGACGCGCTCAAGGCCTGTCAGCCTGTCAATGAGTCGGACATACTCCCTCTTCTGCAGAACGATCTTCTCCTCGAGAGCTGTGGCTCGCATTCCGACCCCTGATATGATAGGACACATCTCGCCCGCTCCAGGCATTCAAGACCTTCTGGGCTTTGTCAGGTATCCCTGACCTTTAAGAACTCACCCCATCAACCCCAACAAATCCTGGTCTCAAAAATAAGTGTGTTGGCTATGGGCGTTTATGTCCTCAAGGGCCGCTCGTGACAGCCTCAATGACAGTTAAAACTTAAAATCCATGAAGCCACCTGCGACATCCCCTCAGTACAAAGTGCTCTTGATGGCAATCCCGAGAACAAATGCCTGCCGAAAACATGAATAGCCAAGTGCAATTCATCAACATGGCCAAGATGGGTCAAGAGGTTAAGCCCTGGCGGCCCAGACTCCTTGACCTCGACAAGGTTTTCCCAAGCATCCATGAAAACCTCAGGGTACGATCGCTCAGAACTTAGCCAGGTGGTGAGCTTGGATCACAGTGCCCAGTGGACACCAGCCCACAAAAAACAAACAAGTTGGACAGTCGGACTGGACAGTCTTCTCTACCTGAGCTCCAGGCTTGCCCCGGCCCAGGCTCGTGTCTTAGGAGCCTTAAGATCAGCGGAAAGTAGTTGCAAACTGCGCTCTGCAACTCCTATCACCGCCTTCTCTACTGCTCAGGGTGGCGAGACTGCTGCTACTGCCTTCCACCACGATGACTACTACTACCCCTACTACCGCCACTTCTGCTGCCACTACCACTACCACGACCACGACCA